GTCCTGTAGGGCTCATCCGCCCTGGATTCCCTGTATTTTCAGTTCCTATCTGTACCAGTGTACATCCTCTGGTCTAGCCAGACTTGCAAGATAGAATTCGAGTCATGGTAGTGGGAGCGGGGAGGAAACATTTAGGAACTAGAGGAAAGTTGTATTTTTCATCATTGTTACATCGCACCCTGACTGGCTCATCTCCTCCCTGAGACCCCTCTGCAAGGGGATCTCCAGTGGCCTACTAATGAGTTGACTTTTAAAACTCAGTTCGTCAGCATACTGCAGGGAGTCTGTAAGCACCTTCCTTTCTTTCTCCCTCTTCCTGTCATAGCAAGCTCCCAAGAAGAGCCTTCACTCAGGCAGTACCTTAGCCTATTCATAGAATAATCTGTTAAATAACTCAACCATTATGAGTAGAAAAATAATGTTTAAGGGATCTTTATACTGTTTTGTTTCTGTTAAAGCATAATTTTGCAAATTTCAATAGGAATTTTCTTCTTCTAAGTTCCTGGATCTTCAATATTTAAGCTATGAGTGAGCATTTCCTTTCACTGAGGGATTTGGGGGCATCCTTATAGATGCTGCCTGATTCTGGATCGATTGTTTTTCTTCTTCAGTAAACTCAATTTTAACAAATGCTTCAACTTGCTATTTCAGAAACCACTGTGTCAATCAATCTTGTTGAGAATATTCCTCTTTTTTGCTGACCCTGTACTTTACCAGGCATGATATGCTTCTCTAGGGATTGGCCCCTTCTGAGAACATGTCCAATATACGTGAAACAAAGTCTTGCTTTTCTTATGTCTAAGGAACATTGGATTGCCTTTCTTCCAAGAAATATTTGTTCATTATTCTGGTACTCTATGGTATTGTTTTATGGTACAGAAAGCCCCACTAAATCTAAAATACAGTTTAAGGAAACATTAATTAAGCATTAAACAGGATAACAAGGACAAAGACATCATCTGGCTGCTGGGAGACTATTAACATATGTTCATTTTAATAAGATGTAGGAGGAAATAGGAAATAGTCACAAAATCATGGTTGGTGGCAGATCAATGTATTACACTTGCAGGCAAGACCAAGGAAGTGGGAATAGGACTATGGTCAGGACACATACATTATGCCAGACAGAAGAGCTTACAAGATTGGTTCAGAGCTTCCAACCAGGGTCATATTCATGACCATAGGACCTTACCATTCAGTTACTATTAAGAGCGCACACAGGCAAGTCCCTGAGGCTAGGCTACCTCCCATCCCCCTTTCCACTGGCTAGGGGAGTGGTAATAATGCACTCTAGAATGCACTCTGTGGAGACTAATAAATTTATAAGCACAGTGTGCTTTCACTGAAACCATAGCCATCCCCTAATTCAGTGCTCAGAAATTTAAGCTCTAATAAATGTTCTTTGCTAGTGTCACAATTCAAAGGCATCATTTTTTCTTCCATCTTCCTTATTCATTGTGCACCTTTCACATACATATGTAATGATTGAAAAGATCATATGTTGAGTCAGGCCCACCTTACTAGTCAAAGTAACCTATTTGTTCTTTTATACTTTAAAGACAGCTAGTGTAGCAGATTCATCCAATGTCATAGTTTCCTGATCCCTGCTTCTGTGAAACTATAAATATAAATACATATAGACAGAAATCCTTCACATTTTCAATCTTTACTCCATGTATCATGCACGATGCTGTTTACTGGTTGTGGTGGTTACATAATCTGGTGTCAACTTGTGAAGGGTCTGTCAAATGACCACATTTGGAGGCACCTCAGAGATAAGTAGCTCACTGGAAGCCAGATAGACTCACTCCCTGCGAGACATTCCTGTTAATAAGTCAGATGGAGCTACACTGATGCAGAGCAAGAGCTCTGAAGCTGGAGGAGTCACGTGGAGACCCACACCAGTGCTAAGATGCTTCCACCGCCACTGGATCCACAAGACTTTCCACTCACAGGTCTGTGATCTTCCTACATTCAGTGTCGTTGGACGTGTTGCGTGAATCTGAAGGGGAACTTATAGACTGGTATCAGGCTTATGGGCTAATATCAGACTTATGGACTTGATATGGACTGGGCTGGGATGTTTTCTTAATATATTATTACTCTTTGATACAAAGCGCTCTCTTACTTCTATACAAGTTCTAGGAATTTGTTTCTCTAGTCAACCCACACTAACACACTTGCCCAATCATGAGGGTTTTTGTTTTCTTTATATTCAGATGTAGTCAATACTAATGACTGTAATCTTTGAAGTATTACATTGTATGGATATACCATACATAATATTATTTTTAAAACAAAATTTTCTGATTGATGTATGACTGTGTTGTTTTTAGTTTAGGTTTTTATTTTCATTCTGATGAGCCATTGTGGTTTTACTTTTAGCCTCTCAAAATGATGTTATTTTCTTTTCATTTGCTTAATAGTAATTCACATGTCTTGCTTTATGAATTATTCACTAAAATTTTTACACATCTTGTATACAAAAACCATGAAACGTACTTGAGTGGCATCCCAATGCCCATCTGCTACCTTAATACTAAACCTATAAATATATGTACATAGATCTATTTCCCCATCATCATTATTAAGTATATTTACATATGTACATACCTGTATTTAGACCTCTATAAATGCCATTTACCTCCTAGTTCTTTCCTCTATTTTCTTTTACTTTCCTCTTGTCCCACAATCATGCTCAGCCTTCATTTGGGTTTCAATATTTCTTCTCAGTTTCATTACCCTTGCTCAAGTCCTACCCAGCCTCTTACACCCTCCTCCTCACCAATTTTGGATCACTTGTTATTCCCTTTTCCTTGAGTTTATTAACAGCACTTCCTTTACCCTACCTCCCCCTCTCCCATGTCCCCCAGGAACCATCCATCCCATTGTTTTCTCCTCTGGATTGTTTATCCCTTCTTGATTAGCTCCATTTTGGGGGGTTCAGATTCCACTGCTTCCCTCCCATGTGACCCAGACATGTCCTCTGTCACAGTCTGCTCCAGTAAGGGGACAGTGTGACACGTGCTGTTGTCTTTTGCCCAGTCCCTTCTGTGCCCCATTAGCTCCCAGCAGGGACATCATCCTCTGAGCCTATTTTGCCAGTGTGGGGTCCAGTCTGGCTCTTTTGTCTTCCTACTTCTGGGCCTGCCTCTGTGTGGGTGTAGCATGCTCTCCCCACTCTCCAACCCACTTCCCAGGAGGGGTTCAGTTTGGCTCTGGTTGGGGCCAGCCCTGTAGCTCTTTCTTTTCATGCATCCTTCCATGTGGCCATGCTGTCCTCATGGTTAGGTGCATCATGGTAAGGTCTGCATGCCCACTCCAGCTTCTGTGAAGACAATATCAGCACTCTCACCCTGGGTGAATTAGTGCCCTGCTCCCTCCCTCAGTGCAAGAACATTTTGTTCTATTGAGCTGGCATTTCATTATGCTCACCTT